GTGTAGAATTATAGAACAGCCCTGGTTGGAAAGGACTTTGTAAGTTCATCTGGTCCAACCTTTCTTTCCTCTGTTTTATTCAAATGCATGTAAGTTTGTTCTTGCCGTATCCTTATCCTTTTCCTTTTTGGGGGAGGCATTGAAAAAAATTCAGACCTCAATTTGGGTGACTAAAGGAGGAGACTCATTTTTCATACCAGTCTTGCAGGAAGCCCAAAAGAATGGTTTCTGAGGGTTCTTTGTTGGATATGTTCGGGTTAAAGTAACTTGTGTTGCCCCAAGTATGGTCTTCTGTATTTGTGTGTCCTTAGGTCGCTGGGGCTGTTACCTGCATCTCTTTAAGAGTTGTTCAGAACTCTGCTAGACCTACTTTCGTACTCTGAGTTACCTTTCCAGTTGAAAATAAGGGAAAAAGCAATTTCCTGTCCTCCTTAAACACTGCTTGATTGACAGATTGATTTGCATCGTACTGAATTTGTGCTGACTTTAAAGTCAATCACAGTTTAACTTAAAGCTGTTTCTTCTGTGTTTAGTGCTAACAGTGGTCATTTTGAATAACCATACTGATCACATGGTGTTAATTTGGTTGTTCTATGGAAAATTTTTGCATGTGTAACTGCATAATTTTTGTACAGAAATTGCACCCAGCAGCCTTTTGAGGGAGAATACATGACCCTCGGGAACCTTACAAAATAGAATGCAAAGTACAAGGAGTTACTGCTGCAGAAATTATAGGTTACAGCATGTTGTAAGGTACTGTCAAAGTCTAAATCTGTTTTACTGTTTACAAAGCCGTTCCTGAAACAGTACCGTGATTCCAGGAGGCCTGCATGGATGAAAAAGGAAGTCCTGGACAAACTCAAACATGAAAAGGAAGCCTACAGAGGGTGGAAGCAAGGACAGGTAGCCTGGGAGGAATACAGAGAAATTGTCTGAGCAGACAGGTAAATCCCTGGTAGAAGTCAGTCTGTCCAGGGATGTAAAGGGCAACAAGAGGAGCTTCCATAGATACAGCAATGATAAAAGGAAGACTAGGGAGAATGTGGGCCCTCTCCAGAAGGAAATAGGAGACCTGGTTACCCAGGTTTTGGAGAAGGCTGAGGCACGCAACAACTTTTTGCCTCGGTCTTCAGCGGCACATGCTCAGGCCACACCACTGAAGTTGCAGAAGGCAAAGGCAGGGACTGGGAGAATGAATTGAGAGCAGCCCTGAGGAGGACTTGGCCGTGTTGGTTGATAAGAAGGTGAACGTGACCCAGCAATGTGTGCTTGCGCCCAGAAAGCCAACCAGATCTTGGGCTGCATCAAAAGAAGTGTGACCAGCAGGTCGAGGGAGGGGATTCTCCCCCCCCTACTCTGCTCTTGTGAGACCCCACCTGGAGTGCTGCGTCCAGCTCTGGAGTCCTCAGCACAGGAAAGAGGCAGGTCCAGAGGAGAGCCACAAAGATGGACAGAGGGCTGGAGCACCTCCCATACAATGACAGGCTGAGAGAGTTGGGGTTTTTCAGCCTGGAGACGAGAAGGCTCCAGGGAGACCTTAGAGCAGCCTTCCAGGGCTGAAAGGGGGGCTACAGGAGAGATGGGGGGGCTCTTGATCAGGGGGTGGAGTGATAGGATGAGGGGTAATGGTTTTAAGCTGAAAGAGGGGAGATTTAGATTAGATATTAGGAAGAAATGTTTTCCTGTGCGGGGGGTGAGGCAGTGGACCAGGTTGCCCAGAGAAGCTGTGGATGCCCCATCCCTGGAGGGGTTCAAGGCCAGGCTGGATGAGGCTTTGAGCAACCTGGGCTAGTGGGAGGTGTCCCTGCCCATGGCATGGGGGGGGGACTTGATGATCTTTACACTCCCTTCCATCCCAGACTATCCTGTGATTCTGTGATATTCTACTAACAGAGGACAGGGTCCTTGAACAATTGTATTATTTGCTACTGATTCTAGAAGGATTAAAATATGGTTGCTCAAATTGACATTTAAGCAGAGATAGCAGGACCTTAATTTGTAATATGCAGCATAGACAGATGGCAGTTATGGTAGAAAGACCTTTTAAAAAATCTTTCTGGTAGAACATAAGGGACTTTGATTTCCTTGTCTGAACTGGGTAATTAAAACTGTTGTAAGAAGTATCTGGTAGAATTTAAGGACCTGTGGGTGGTTTGAGTGCTAGACCTGATTTTAGCAACTCTAGAACATTATGTGTTGGTTTACAGTGGCTTGTTTTGTTTTACTTTGAATGCCACGTTTTGTTTTGCATTGTTATGATAGATTATTGTATGAAGCAGCATTACTTAAGCAAAATGTGGGAAAAGCTTTTTCATGTCTTATCTTGAATGCAAGGGAGTCATGGAGTTCAGTGCCCAAAGACTGCTCTAAATTATTAGGCCGAGCAGAGCAGGGAGGAGGAATGTACTATTGACCTGTAATGCCACTATGGCTCGGAGCTTGGGTATCCAGCGTGGTTTCAACAAATAGCTTTTGAAAACTGCACAGTGCTTGCCTAAAGCATGGTTGTACAGCTGGGACACGTCAATATTTTGAATGTGCTTCCAGCTCATTTAATTCACAGCCATGCTGAGTCTGAACCCAGGAAGCATAGGGAGGTGAGATATTTCTGCACAGAGTTCCTTCCTTCTGTACAGTGAGAGAATAATGTGCTTTAACAGGCTTTTAGTGTTCCTACCCTCCTCCCACTTCTGTTAGTTCAGGATGCTAAAGGCAGATGGCACAGTGCTCTGGCACCCCTTCTGTCTCTTGTATCTGAAAATTAACCCTTGCAAAATAAATACCATGGGGGTTTTTTAGAGCTAATTTGCTATTTTCCCGTAGGTATATTTAATGTAATGATTAAGATGGTTTCAAAATACGTTGTTGTACATCGCTTTGGATAGCAAAGTGGAAACATGTCAACCTAAAGGTTACTGGCTCTTGTTGGTGGTGTCTTGCTGATGTTTTAATTGCTTTGTAGAGCCTGCTACTTGTTTCAAGGCTTGCGTGACTGATAGACTGCTGCAGGCTCAGGAGGTCATTTTAACTAGAGTCCTACTTTGTGCAAAACTGAAAGTGGCATTGAAAAAAAATCTGTAAATTTTAAGAGGATTTATGTGTTTTCTGTAAGTCTGGCCTGCGTCTTTTGCCGCTGGCTGTTCTAGCCATTTTACAGCAGACTTGCACTTCATTTGCTGGTCAAAGCATCAGGGTTTGTGTGGAATTTTCCATGACTGCCTAAGCACTCTGATACATTTGTGGCAGCTCCCATTACAAAGCTGCTCTGCTTTTTCTCCTCCTTACAAAGCATTCTAGAAATAGCAGACAGATGAGCCAGTGTGTTCGCTAAATGTGTTTATATAGTTACCATTTAACATAGATATAAATCCATAGAAGTGTCCATTGCTTTTTCTGTGTCTTGTAATATTTACAAAGCAAATATATCTTTTTAACAGTGGAATATTTATTTCTGTTTAGCTTTCCTGGATATTTTCCACAAACTACATTCCTCTTGTTCTCTGTTCTGGCTATGGCTTCTGCAGTGTTGGTTTGTGAACTGCTCTGGTGACAAGGCTGCTGTTGCTGATGATCTGGGAGTTGCTGTCTCATGTTGGTTTTGTTGTGGGTGTTTCAATTTTGTGTGTGTGTTCCTCGTGCCCTTTGCTTCGGGTCCCTGTTTCTTGACCTCCGTGCTAGGTTTAAATTCACTTTGTTCAATCTCTGATGAAAAATATACCATGTCTGCAAGGGTAGGTTGTCATGCACTGAAAATAAGAGCAAAGGAGAGGGAGTATTTTTTGCTGAGGATTTTGTTTAAAGGATGCTTTAAAGGCACTGAGAGGAGGCCTGTCTCTCTTACATTTCTATCTTCTGGGCCCACAAATATGTGAGTTTGATATGTCTCAAAACACTTTCCTGTCAAAGGAAAAGTATGAGAGAAATGCTGTCAGGTGGTTTTGTGTTGCTTTAAATTGAACAGGACAATTTATTGATTCAGTTGTGGAATGATTTGGTACCAAATATTCATTGCTTGTATCTGGTCTTTGTGTCTGAGCTCAAGTAAAATTTTGGTTTGATACTAGACCTTCCTGAAAATTATTTTTTTATTCTTCGATAGTACTTGTGCTTTGGACAAGCCTTTCTATTATCATAAGCTTGGTAATTTGGCTGATGTTCTCTCTTTTGGGTTGGGGGGGTTGTCTTGCAGTTGGCTGATTGCAATTCTGGCTCAACTCAACCCTCTCTTTGGGCCGCAGTTAACCAATGAGACAATCTGGTATCTTAAATATCACTGGCCTTAAGGATGTCTGTCCTCTGCTGCAGTTTATTGACTAGGTGAGTATAACCAGATTTATTAATCTATTTGGTATGTTAAAGCTTCAGGAGAAATTGAACAGTAGCGTAAGCAGTGTGTTCAGAATTGCTGGCTGTTTTGTAGGAGAAATCTGTCTTTCTATAGGCTGCAACAAAACATAATTTGGCTGTTAATCTTGACTGGATACCATGAAAAGCTTGGGCTGAATTCTTGTACAGTTATTTCTCTCTGCTATCATGTGATGTGGTGCTGTGTTCAGTAAACGCATTTGTAAGAAGGGTACATTTCTTCATGGAAAAAAAAAATCATTCTGGAGTGTCTTTTAGTAGCTAGCATAAGTGGATTTCCTAATCTTTAACAATTGTTAAACCTCTGTTCAAGCCTACTACCATGTCATCCAAGACCTGTCCTGATTTCTAAGGCAATGTACAGTTGCCCTCATTCATCTGGGAAGTCAGAGTGCGAATTGCAATTAGAATGGTTCTTTATCTCCTGTCAACGTGTAGCACTAACACTGAGCTAACAGATTAATGTTTTAATTTTTTTAATGATAGTCTGTGTGCAACTTTAATCATAGGTGAGCCTGGTGTTGCTCTCTGGGTAGTGCTGTTGGAATGCTGTTGTTGCAGTTCTGGGGCGTGCTTTCTGACACGACCAGCAAAAATACAGTCTTGTACTAAAAGTACTGTGACGACTTCAGGTGTCTCTAGAGCAGCAGCACTTGGAGTTGAAGGTTCAAAGGAAGGATAGCTGTGGAAAGAAGTACCCATTACTTCAGTTTTTATGCTGGTAGTAGAATAATTAGACACGCTTAGGTTTTTTACCTGGGTTTTTTTTGTCCTTTTAGATTTAACTGCCTTGCTGTTGTTACTTTAGCTTCTGTTTACAGAAGTCCAATAGCAGCAGACAGATGGCAGTTGATGTTACAGCTCAGTTAAATGTTGTCTGTAAAGCATCCTGAACATTTACCCTGAAGCAAAGCTCCACTGCTTCAAAGTAGGCTTCATCTGGACTGTGGTGTTGTCAGACTGTGGCATGTGTAGAGCTCTGTATCTTCTCGTCTAGCAGCAAGCAGAAGCCAAAGGTAGACGTGGCCCTGCTTCAAGTAGAAGCCTGCAATTAGCTAAGTCAGTCAAGCTGAGTTTCTGAAGTGCATTTTCACTGCTGATGTGTTAACACATAATTAGTTAGCTAAAACAGAGACCAGTGTATTCTGGTAGTGGGCATACAGATCCCTGAATCCCATAGGATAATTCAGTTGCCTGGGATCTGAAATGGAAATGTAGTTATCTGGACAAGTGGATGTCTTGGATATAAACATTTGGCTTCCTTCTGACTGATAAATGGCCTGTGTTGCAAGGACAAACTGGAGATGAGATACAGCTCTTGGACTCTAGGCACCTGCTAAAAGAGTCCCAGCTTTTCCCCTCCTTTTCAGTGAAGGATTTTCCAGAGAACTGGAGGTAAATTTGTACCAAGGAAGAGAGGGAACTAAGTCATTCTGGGATGGCTAGAAAGTTTGTGATGAGCTGTCATTTTTAAGCTTACTAATGGAGAATTTGAGGCCTAAATAGTGTACGCTATTGTGTTATATGAAGCGGTTTGGCTTAACCTTTAATATATCTGATTTCATTGACTTGTTTTTGCAGTAAAATGAAGGTTTTTGTATTTGTGAAGAAGAATGCTTTAAAAAAGTAAAAGCATATAATAATCCTCAAATATCATAGTTAAATATTACATTCTTTCTTGCCTTTGGGTAGAAATGTGCTATTACAGGACATACCATTCTCAATTGTTTGAATTATTCCTGTGGTGTTGAGTGAGCTGGGTGGCAAGGAGATGGCTACCTCAGTGAGGCTGCACTGTCCTGTCTTTTGCAGCTGTGTGCCTCCGCACTCGGAGCCTCCTGTTGAGCTTTTTGCTAGAGAGGAGCTGTGAATTAGATTCCATCTGAAAGAGTTGGGATATAGGTCTGACACTGCACAGAGTCCCATGAATATAGCTACTATTTCTTGTGTGACCAGTTAGTTTTGACTTCTAAGATGTGCTTTTTCAGCAGTCAAAGTGCATGTACTGTACTTTTTTCTGCATCCTCAGTAGAGGTTTGGATGGATTAGCACGCACAATGCAAAGAGTCAAAGCAGAGAGAATGAAATACTAACTCCCAGAGTGGAGAGATGTTATTAAAGAATGAGGATAGTCTAAGCAAAGCAACAGAGCAGGCTGAAAATGCACACAGAAGGCTACAGTGTTATAGTGAGGAGCTTCTGCAGATGCCAACTTGATTGATCTATGCCAAGTTACAGAATTTTGGTCCTTCTTTTCAGTCAGTATGCCTCCAGTTCAAGTGGTGATGCTGTATCAGATGACTTGTCTGTATAATCAAGTGAATGGCTTGGGTGGCAGCATGTAAGAACATAGAGACTTCTGTAGCTGTGGTAAATCTGGGCTGCAGCCTCTTTTAAGCCATGTGATCTAACGCTGCCCTTAACTTTGTCTTTTTACAGTCTGTGTTCTCAGACCAGGAATGTGGTTCATGCCAGTGCAAGTGCATCCAGATGACTGGATGCTGTTACAGCATTGAAAACTTTCTAGTAAAACATTTGTTCTACCATCTTATAGTGTAACTGCTTGCAAGTAACTTCGGAAACAAAGCTGCTAAGAAAGCAAGAAAGTAGATGATCTTTTAAGGCCCCTTCCAACCCTAACCATTCTATGATTCTATTATTCTATTCTTGAAGCTCCATATAGATGAATTATCTTCAGTTCTTTACCATTTCTCAGTACTTTTGTGGAATGGAAATAGCTGTGGCTAACAACCAGGTCTTCAATTAGTAAATTGTCTCCATGGAAAGGAATAATTAAGTTGCCTCTTGCTTTGCAGGTAAAGAAGAGATTTTCTCCAGATGAAAAACTCCACTGACCCAAAGATGCCTTTAGCATAGTTGGTTGGATACCAAGCCTACATTAATGCCTTAACTTTTCGATTGTGTTTCAAATGGCTTCTTCAAAGCCCTGTATTTTTTCCTACTGTACCTACGTTTAACAGTGTGCCTAATGCAATTTATACTCCTCTTCCGTACTGTAAATTTTTGTCTGTTAACTTCAGATGTGGTGAAAGTTTCTAAAGTTTTTATGGATCATAGAGTCAGTTTTCCTGTTCATTTTACTCACTCTGTAGGAACACTGTATGTATCTTACAGGTCTTAGGTTGTGTGTTGCTGTGCTGTTCACCTCTGTTCTGTTTGACTGCACTTGAAAAAAATGTGTGCAATGAAACTGTATGAGGAGAGGAGAAACAGTGGTGCCACATGTTGATGGCATGCATTTTTTAAAAGGAGTTGTATTCTTGGGAAATTTGGTCTTAAATTTCTCGTGCCTGGAAATAAAACTAATCCTCTGCTTTACACAAACGTTCTTGTGCCATGTTTAACTGTTACGATGTGCTTTCTGTGGTTTTCATCAGTCAATAGTTAGCCAGAGTTGAGCTGAGGAAACTTGGATGATGTGAATAAACTGTAATAAAGTCTCATAGTGTGATGAGATGAGCATGTTTGCTGGCTGTATCAAGACCTCTCAGGTAGTGCTAAAATAGGACTAAGATTGCTATCTAAAATTGCTTAAAGGTCTGCAGGGAGAAGTGTATGCTTAGCTTGAGAGCCTCTTCTCCATGAACTTCCCATTGTCTGATACTAGGGGACTCGGTAACAGACATAACATGACTAGTTTGAATGAAGCATGAGTAGTAATTTTGACAGGGGATTGAGTTACTCCCTGGCCTTTTTGAGGGATACGTATAGTAACAAGCAATTTGAATTGAAGAGAAAACACGGGACTTGTTTTGTACTGACTTGACACTTACGTGTGGAATTGCAGACCTGATAAAGCACGTGACAACGTGGGCCAGAGATGAAAGATTGCTGAGGCTCCTTGACGTCAGCTGAGTCCGTGGGGTTGGGAATTAATCTAGTAAGTCATTTGCTAAGGAACAGCCTCAAGGGATATAAATACTGCTGCATGCACAGGACTCTGTGTGTATACTTTCTTACCTCCTTACATCATGTCCAGAAAAACTGCAATTATTCCTTACTGTGTCTTATTGTCATGCACAAGGACGTAATGGAGCTGTTCTTTTTTGTCCTTGTGGATAGCACAGTTAACTTGTTCAATGAGATGGTATTTATTACAATACAGGAAATGCCGAGATCCCGGCAAAGTGCTGTAACTTGCGGTGATCAAAAACTGGACAGCGTGAACTGCAAAAGAAATAAGGTCATGTCCATTATTGCAAATAAACAGAGTGACTGTTGGGACTGGAATAATGGATTTTTTTCAAGTTACCCTAGTACTGAGAGCTGTATTTTGGCATGCAAGAAGCTGTACACTATAATGCTGTATATCTGTGGTAAATAATTCCGAAGAAAATTTGAAACCATAATGGTCTTATAAAAGCTTAGGTTGTTGCTTGGTTGGGTTTTTTTTAGGTGTGTGGAGGACAATATATGTTGACATTGTATGAGGAGAGGAGGAGAAATGCTTGTTTTTAAAATATACTGATCTGCCTGTCGTATTTACCCTGAAGAAAGACACGAAAAAAGAAAACAACCATTGACAGACAGTGGTATTTGCATATTGGTATTATCACTTTCTTTATCAAGCTTTCTACTTGAGGTTCTAAGCTATCGCTCATTATAGAAGATACAGGAGAAGTAAAACAGGGTTCACACGGCATGTTTCATTGTTGGTGAATTTAATGTAAAGAGCTATTCAAAGCCTGGACGAACAAGCCATAGTTCAATTTTTATCTAGGTGCTTTCCAGATAAATAAATGTCCTTTCATCCAAATGGTTAATGCTTTCTCTGAAACAGATACTGGGTAGTAGCATGATTGAAGAAGTTGAAAAAATAACATTTTGTTTCTGTTCTGCTGAATGTTGTATGACCTGCTGTCTGCATTGTGATCATGGGATGGCCTGCTCCACGTGT